TCCCTCTCATTCTGAACCAGTACAAATACGTGCACGCATTGCGCGTGTTTTGCTTGCTTCATGAGTGTTTCTGTATTATATGAGTGGCTTTGGAAAATAAATCACTGCACATTTCAGATGAAAAAAACGCGACTTCTATTTTTGAAAATATCACAGTTTGGAGATTTATAACGAGTGGTTCCCTGCGTTTTTACAGCAAATCGCATGACTTAGTTACAGTACTAAGCCGCTGCAATGGAGCAGCTCTAACGCTATTAAATTAAAGATAATGTAGGCTACCATAGAGAGAGAGAAAAAATTAACAGTGAAAGTAACAAAAACTTGTAAAATACATTTTAATGGGCATAATTAAGTGTGAAAATAACAGAAGGATATACAGTCAAACCAAAAATTATTCAGAGACCAGATATAATTTTTGATATAATTTTTACTAGTGGGTGTTTGACACTATAGTTAATTTATGTAAAGTGAGGATAGCAAAATAAACTAAATTGTCATATATTATACCCAAAAATCTTCATACAGTGGTCTACCAGTAAAATTGATTCAAATTTGGGACCAAAAATTATTCAGACCGAGTCTGGGAAAAAATTGAAGTTCAGTTTTGCATGAACCTGATTGACAGCATGCTCAGGAGAATATTTGCTGTCATTAAGGCTAAGGGTCAGCCGACAAAGTATTGATAGTTGTGTAAATATTGACAGCTGTATGAATAATGTTTGGTTTATTGAAATCCATTACATACCTTTCTATCAAAGTTATCTGACATTATCAAGCTGAATTTGTTCTGACACAGTTTAACTCTGAGTTCTTGTCATATTTTATTACCATTTTCTAAACTATAGCGAATAAACTGTGATAATGTGAGGAATGTTGAAGGTGTCTGAATACATTTTTATTTGAATGTATCTGTTTGATAAATTAAGTTAACCAACTAACCTTATACATACTGTTTCTGTACCCAATATTTAAAAAATGTACAAATGCAATGAAAATATTGGTATCGGTACTCGGTATCGGCAAGTACCAAAAATAAACGTATCAGTATCGGGCGAGTACTGGAAAAAGTGGTATCGGTGCATCCCTATTAGGCTACATAAGATCATTTCTAATCGACCTGCAGTGATTGAGGCATTTCACCCGGAAGATAGTGCTGTGGACATCAGAGATGTTGACCTCTTCTTGGAAGATACTCCAGTCCAGCGTAGCCTAGGAGTGTCCTGGAACATAGCATCAGATACCTTTACCTTCCAAGCTGTTGATGACAAGAAGCCATTTACCCAGCGAGGTGTACTGTCAACAGTAACCAGCCTATATGATCCCTTCGGTTTCATTTCTCCTATTACCACCAAGGGCAGGCTGTTGCTTAGGGAACTCTCTGCACAGGCTGAAGACTGGGATTCCCCATTACCAGATGACATAAAGCCAGAATGGATAAGATGGAGGAACTCCTTACAGAGTCTGCAAGACCTAAAGATACAGCATACTTTTTCATCTTTTCCTACTTCAGAGCTTCAGTCAAGGGAGCTGTGTATATTAGCTTATCTGAGATCCACATCTCAAAAGGGTCAAACAGATCTTGGATTTGTGTTTGGAAAGACAAAGTTGGCACCACAGCCAGATCTCACTGTTCCAAGATTGGAACTGTGTGCTGCAGTTCTCTCAGTTGAGATTGCAGACATGGTTGTTGAAGAAATAGGCTTGCAGTTCAACAGTATCCAGTTCTTCACTGACAGTAAAATTGTTCTTGGATATATTCACAATCAAACAAGACGTTTTTATGTTTATGTGAAAAACAGAATCCAACGTATTCTTCAGTCATCTGAAGTCATCTGAAGCTATACCCACCATTCTCTCCCAAGCACCCCCCATAAACAGGAAGTCAGGGGTGGACTAGGTGGAAATTCAATTCACAGCCCAAAATGAATATCAAAATAAAAGTCATAAATTTAAATATTAAGTCCAACACAGTGCTTCTATGAACAGTAAAACTATGTTAGTGCAACTAAGCAAATGAAGAGAATGCAAGCCCAAATGTACTGAAAAGCTTCTTTCTCCAGTAGCCCCTAACTGCAGAACACAAGATCCAGGGGGTGGAGATTGGTAGGTTTACTGGTGGAGATGGGTGGGTTTAGGGATCAGGAGGTGGAGACAGGTTGGTTTAGGTGGGAGGAGTTGGATCTGGATCCAACCACGCCCCCTGGATCTTGTGTTCTGCAATGAGGACCATCTCTCTCTGTAAGAGAAAGACGGTTTATGCAATGTTAAAAGTAGAGCTTACCCACATGAAAATTGTTTCTAACATGTGAAATGAAATGTTATTTGTAATGCAGAAAGACAGATTTTAATGTGTTTGAAGTTTTATTCTCATCAAGTTTTCTTAGAACTTGGTTCTTGCCTAAAAAGATGGGTTTATGATGTTTAATACATTTGGCTGCTTTTAGCCGTACCCTGGAGTTGGTTCACCCTCCGCCTATGGTGTCCATATTTGCGATGCATTTGAATGCTAAACTATTATGCTATTTATTATGTAAAACCAGGCTTACTTAATGCACTTAAAAACATCCTCGTCGTGAGCAAATATGTGTTTGGCCCAAGCTCAGGCTGAACGGCACGGATTGTAGGCCTACTTCGCAGTACGCACTATTTAAATTAACCAGTGTATCTATACGTTTGGTTGATTATTTTATTCTGAGAATGAACAGGCTACAACATTTGCAATGCTGTAGGCCTATGTGTGTGCGTGAGGCGCCGGCGCGATCGAACAGCGGAAACAACAACAACAACAAAAAAATACTCCGTAATTTTTGGTCATACAGATCATTCAAAACTGCAATGTGTTTACTCATCTCGGTTTCCTTTCTGTGGACTTTCATAGAGCACCGCACCACACAAATAGTGAATGACGTGACATGTGGCCAAGTATGGTGACCCATACTCGGAATTAGAGTTCTGCATTTATCCCGTCCCACACACCGTGAACACACACCCAGAGCAGTGGGCAGTGAATTTTTGCTGCGGTGCCCGGGGAGCAGTTGGGGGTTTGGTACCTCAGTCGTGGTAATCAAATGTGGGAGAGAGCGCTGTACATTCACTCCCCCCACCTACAATCCCTGCCGGTACGAGACTCGAACCTGCAACCTTGGGTTATGAGGCCGACTCTCTAACCATTAGGCCACAATACTTTCCGTACCCACTGTAGACTATGATTTAATAAAAACAGATTTTGTTATGTTTAGTTAAACTTAATTTTTGTTGCTTGTCTGCACTCGTCCGCCACCTTTTTCCTCTTCTGTGACCCCGCAGCTCTCCGATAGCTTACTGTTAGTGGCACCAGTCCAGGTGTTTCCAGGTTTTACTCATGCTATTTCTCCATGTTGAGAGTTTGGTGTCGCACATATTGCACCTGACTATGCATTCTTATCCTTTTCTCCGATGAACTGAAAATAACAGGAGTGTGTCCATCTCACAAATTTAGAATCCATCTCTGCAGTCATCTCAACCATCTAATTCCAGCAACAGGAAATAGACAAACCATTTTACCCGCAGAATTTTTTCTCTGGTGCTGTTTTGCGGTGTTAGTAAATTCACCACCTAATTTTGAGTTAAAATATGTTGTTGTAACTTGCGTTACTGAGATTGTAACGAGTAATAATATTACCCAAATTTTATTAGTAATGCGTTATATTACTGCGTTACAGCAAAAAGTAATATTCTACTGTAATATTATTACTTTTGTAATGCGTTACTCCCAACACTGGTCCTCAGGTCCTTACACTGGCTTCCAGTTATATTTAGGATTGATTTTAAAGTAGGCTACTTTTACTCATTTATAAATCACTCAATGGTCTAGGATCTAAATACATAGCAGATATGTTCACTGAATATAAACCTAACAGACCACTCAGATCATTAGGATCGAGTCAGTTAGAAATACCAAGGGTTCACACAAAACAAGGGGAGTCTGCTTTTAGTTATTATGCCGCCCGCAGTTGGAATCAGCTTCCAGAAGAGATCAGATGGGCTAAAACCTTAGTCACATTTAAATGCAGACTCAAAACTCATCTGTTTAGCTGTGCATCTATTGAATGAGCACTGTGCAATGTCCGAACTGATTGCACTATATTTTATGTATAATAATTTTCTATTCTTAACTTTTACATTCATTTTAAATCTCTTAAATCAATTTTTAAATAAGTTTCAACGTTTTTAAATTCCTTGTTTTATTGTTGTGATATTTTTTTTATTAATAAATAATTAAATAATAATTATTATATTATATTATAATTTTCTTTTCTTTTATGTAAAGCACTTTGAATGACCATTGTGTATGAAATGTGCTATATAAATAAACTTGCCTTGCCTTATTAACACATGTAAATGAAGAGATGTCAACCGATTTTATTTATTTATTTTTTACTGACCAGATAGGGAATACAGTCGACGCACTCACGTTGAAATATTTTCGGAAACAACGGGGACATTTTTTGACAAAAATAAATAAATAAATAAAAAATCGCCTAACCCAACAGGTAGTAGCAGTAGAAGTAGTAATTTGGTGGAAACGTCTAAGTTAATTATATTGGCTGCGTCTGAAATCGCATACTAAGAAAAAAGTTAAATAAAAGCTCGCGTGGTCCCTCGTTTATTCAATGATATTTTTTGTCATCTCTGTCTGTTCAACCCTATGGTTCAACCACTTTATGAATAGCCTACATGTATACATATATAATCTGAGGCTTTTATTGCATTGTAATTTCCCTGTTATTTCCGCCTAACATGTGCCAATCAGCGCGCTTGTCTTCTTATAAACCAATCCGAAGGCGTCTTGTCTTTAATGCGGACCAATAAGAGTAGAGACAGCGTGGAGCTTCCTTTTCCAGCAGAAGTGAAGTGAACTATCTGACCAAGCGGCTGGGTGCGAAGAATGCTGCAGTGCTCTCTACGTGGATATGGGAGGGATGGGAATGATTAGGATTGCCCAACAGTGTCGAGATCGTATTGCAGTAGCGAGAGTATACATTAGATTTTTCTTTTAAAATGAAATGCGTGTTGTATTTGAATCGTTCCGGTAGGAATTATGGATGTGATTTTTGGAATCACTTGCAGCATAGGATTATCGAATGATTATCGCGATCCATATTTCTGCAAATCACGCTCTGCTTAAAGCCGCCACGGTCCAAGCAGTTCTCTGCAGAAACACAAAACATCGGTGCACCTTTAAGGGAAAGCTAGGATCGACTGCTGCCTGTGCTTTTATTATTATTATTTGTATCATAAATCATCTCATGCTTGCCCTGCAGAACTGAACAGAACATGTTTTCATTGCGGATCGTCACGGCGGATTATTACATGAGCAGTCCGATCAGAGATCTGGACGTCTGTTACTCTGAGTTCAGAGAGAGCGATGTCAAGAAAGTGCCCGTGGTGCGGATCTTTGGGGCCACACCAGCAGGTATGCATGCATTCATTTGTGTGTTCATATAGCGTGAAACATCACCTAACTGTTGACATTCGGGTCTACGGTAAAAACTTTCTCTTTTTGCAGTGTCTGGGTCTGTTGTTTTGTGCATGTGATTAGGAGTAAGGAACACATTTTTTGGTGTTTGGGTGGTTTTGCTCCATACGCCATGTTGTCAACACGTCTGACCGCCATGTGGACGTGTTTACTCCGACCGAATACCCTATGCCATCTCTGTTTGGCCATTCCTATGTTGTATAATAATACAACTTGTATTATCACAAAACCCAAAACCACATATAACGAAAGCAACAAATCACATCTGTGCCGATCTTTGTGTCTGATTTCATAATCATGTGATTGTAACACTGGCTGGCTTTTTCGTTGTGGCTTAAGATTGCAGGGAGAAAGACAGTAAAGAACAGAGGGAGGGTGTGGGGGTCGTTGTTCTGGAGTGGTGATATTAGTGAAAATTAAAATGTATAAAGTCAAATTAAAGTCTCTCTCTCTCTCTCTCTCATTGTTTAAATAACTGCTAATTCATTACAGTTATTACATTTTCTTATTTTTTGAGAACTTCATATTCTTGCATTAAACAAAGTTGACATTTAAATCTCTTAATTACATTTTGAATGCCCAGGTGTTCAGGAGGCACTGTAGTACTGATATATGCTTGACAAAATAATAAATACACTATACCTTGCTAGATCTAAATCATATGTATTATCGTTGTGTGCTAAACCCTAAAATGCTGTTACAGCATTGTCACTTTATACTAATAATTATCAAGTGTTGTTGTCCTGAAAATAATTGAAATTGGTTTTACAAGACATGAAATGTACAGTGTTTTTCTATTAAAATGGAAAATCTATAAAAATTGATAATTATTTGGCTCATCCTGCAATCAAATATTTCACTCCCTAACTCCTCGGATAAGCAAGGAGTTCAGTGGTGGTTCAGTCTTTAGCCGGTTGTGCTCCCGAGTTTACTACTCGTGCTGTAACCATTGCATAGCGTTTATTATTGTACATTTTTCCATATAACTAAAAACTTTGATCATGTAAAGGATTAAAGGAGTTTTATTGCTATTACAACAGATATGTTCCTGACTGTGGGGTTGCTGCTTCCTGCAACTGGCTGTTCTGTCCATTCAGCTAGATGCTATTAAGCTCTAACTTTAACGTGTTGCTTACCACTCTTGCTGTAAGGAAGTACCTTATTATTGTGCATCTGTTCATTTAAAAAAAAAAAAAATTAATTAATATTTTTACATGATCAGTGTTTTAAGAAACTTTAACTTGAATAAGCAGTCAAATTAACATGATCCCAACTGGTGGGTTATGGCCACTTGCACTGACTGCTCAGTCCAGCCAGTCACAACGCAGATGCATTGAAGAGGTTAGTTTTACCTTAGCAAAGGAAATGGGTATAAAGGGGCAGGGCCTTGTGTACATAATAAAGCCACACATCACAGTAAATTTCTATCTATCTATCTATATATCTATCTATTAATATATTTAATATACATTTAATATCTTGTGTTATTTTATGCTCTTGATGAAGATGATGCAGTATAATATGTATAGTTTGCTGCTGTTGATTCTTTACATATGCACAGGTCTTGGTTACATCTAAAAAATTACTTTCAGGAATAAGGCTGCATTGAGTAGCCAGTGTAGGTGACAGTAACCCACAGTCATCATCATAAAAATATTTCAAAATTTTACTGTTTTTGTTTTTGCTGTACTTTGGATCAAATAAATGCAGGTTTGGTGAGCAGAAGAGATTTCTTTAAAAAAAAAAAAAAAAACGTTAAAAATCTTAGTTCAAAAACTTTTGACTGGTAGTGTATATGTATTTAAAATATAATATATTTAATACACCAATGTAATATTAAAATTATGAAAAAGTAGTTTGAATCAATGATTCAAGGACTCCCTCATAAACCTACTGGATGAATCAGCCTTTTTGAATGATTCTCTTGAATAAATGATTAATTCAATTATACATTTAAGTCACTTTTCGCCACCTTGTGGCAAAACAATTAAATCGACAAACATTATGTGGCAGTTACTTTCAAACACGGATTTGCTCTATGATGACGATGTAAGTGTCGTTGCATTATAATGTTTTTGTTAGCCAGTTGAAGCCACTAGATGCGGCGCTGCTGTGTTGTTCATTAAAAATATAGGGGAAAAAGATAACATCAATGCGGAGAAGATCTTGTTTACATCAAAACCGAAACCAAGCCGTTCACACAGAATGCATATTTCACGCATTTTCTAGATGGACATCTATTACTGTTGCACTTGCGTCTCGCACAAAAGAGCCGCATGTTTAGAAAGCCATGTAAAATTAATGCAGGTTTAACTGTGAAAAAAACATATATCGAGACTTTATGGTGGGTTTTTCACCATCCCACTGCATCTCATGTTTTTAAATGAAAAATGTACTCGGTGTGATTGGTTTTCCGCCCTTTGTATTAAACTATGCATACATACATGATGCTGTTTTGTTTATAGTTGTTTAAGCAACTTAATTATAATTGGCTTATAAACATTATTATCGAATATAATTCAAATTTTTATAATATTTAAGTACAAAATTCATATTTAGTTTTTCAGCCATTTTGACAGCCCTAGTTTGAACAGTGTACTTAAAAAAAAAAAAAAAAAAAATTTCTTTCCCATTTCCAAATTTCATCATAAAAATCTTACAAATAAATAAAATAATGCAAACACGTCATTGGACATCATTACATGTGTAAAGAATCAAAATGCATGCGCCATGGATCAGTAAAACGGAATAGCCTCTGCACAGACAATAATGAAATTATTTTAAATACTAAACCATATTGTTGATGGAAATAAAAGGAGAAAAATAAAAGTGGTGGTAATTATTAAAGGGGTCATATGACGTTGCTAAGAAAGAACATTATGTTGTGTATTTGGTGTAATGAATTGTGTTTATGCGGATTAAGGTTCAAAAAACACATTATTTTCCACATACTGTACATTCTTGTTTCTCCTCTATGTCCCGCCTTTCTGAAACGCGTCGATTTTTACAAAGCTCATTGTTCTGAAAAGCGAGGTGTGCTCTGATTGGCCAGCTATCCAGTGCGTCAAACTGGTAATCATTACATCTCTAGTTGTGACTGGCCGAATACCTCAAGCGTGTGACGGAAATGTTACGCTCCTTACCATACTGTGATGCCGTGTCCCGGTGCGATGGGACAAACCCATTACAAATGAGGCATATGTTGCATCCAGTGGGGACATAATTACTGATTATAGTGACTTATACTGTCTTTTTACGTGTTGTTGCATCGCGCGTGTAAACATAAAACCATGTTTGCATTTGTGATCGGAGAAAGGACAAACAACAAGCGCTACTCTACACTGCTCAAAACTCACATTTGAATCACCAGTGGCAAATCCTTTAAATATGAAAGCAACTTGCAGGCTGTGAGACAGCATTATTTGTCAGAGCACCGGCATTGTAGGCTATGCAGGAAACAGTTCTCGTCCTCTGTAAAATGCGTTGCTCACATCTGAATATTTGGGTTGAACTGTTCTGGAACAGTGTTGTAAATACAACTTAACCACTGACTTCTAGTTGTATCCTCTTTTGGAAGACCAAACAAAGTAGTTTCGCATTCACAACAAAACACAGCGTCTCCACAATATGGCAGCGGCAGCAAAAATACTACAGCGAGAGTCAAAGTTACACCTTCTTTCTTTGTGTGAACATTTGGGTGGTGTTATACAAATCGTCCCACACCGTGATGTAGACATGTGGGGGCGTGTTTAAATGAGGTGTTTTAGGAGGGCGTGGACGAGTCTTAACTTTTATAAAGAATATCTCTGGGTTTGAGACTTTAGTCTTTGCAACTTTAGGAATCTTATCTATTCACGAACGGCTTGAAGTCGCATCATATAACCTCTTTAATAATGCATCAATTAATGCCAATGGCTGACAGACATCACGATGTTAAGCTGACGTCTTTTTATTTTTATTTTATTACAGTTTTTATTACGGTAGTTTTCTCTTTATAATGTTATGTATATGACAGTCCCAATTAGGAATGTAATGATTATAGTTTGATGATGAGACAAACTCATTTAGTTTGATGATAAATCATGATAAAATTCCCCACAATTAGTATTACCGTTTCATATTTTAATTATCATTAAAACCGTATTAGATTGCCGTGATTTGAACAACTCACGATAAATAAATACTGTCCCGCATTAAGCTCAGTGTAGCGAATCAGCTCAAAGGGGAAATATGAATAATTAATCATAACTAATTATAATTAATTATAAATATTTAGATCCGCTGTAAGCATTCATTTGAGCTCTCAGTGACAACTGTCTGTTAATTCTAAGAATGTTAATTTCCTGGTTAAGGAAAATAACTTTCTTACTGTACAATACTCAGAGCATGTAGCATAAATCGGCATAATTAGGGACTCCAGTTATGAGCAAACAATGAACAACGTCAAGTGTGATACAATTAAGACTTTATTAACTACATAAACACTTAAACTAGTCTAACATACACACACAC